AGCAAGAAAATATAACCCTTGTAAACATATATGTACCCAATGTAAGAGCAACTAAGTATATAATAAAACTCTTGATGGACTTTAAAGGAGAGATTGACAGTAATACAGTCACAGTAGAGGACTTTAACACCTACTGACATCACTGGATAGATCTTCCAAACCAAAAAAAAAAAAAAAATCAACAAGGAAACAGAGGCCTTAAATGACACACTAGATCAGACCGATCAAACTGATATTTACAGAACATTTCACCCCAAAGCAACAAAATATATATTCCTCTCAAGTGCACATGGAATATCTGCATTTTAGGACACAAAAACAAGTCTATAAAAATTCAAGACGATTAATATAATTCCACACATCTTCTCAGACACAATGGCATGAAGTTAGAAATAAACTACAATGAAAAACACCCAAATACATGGAGGCTAAGTAGCATGTTATTAAACAACAAATGGGTACCAATGAGATCAAGCAAGAAATTAAAAACTTCCTGGAAACAAATGAATATGAACATACAGCAACCCTAAACCTATGGAACACCGCAAAAGCAGTCCTGGAGGGAAGCTCATAGCATTATAGGCCAACCCCCCGCCCCCCAAAAAAGCATAAACTAATCCTACAACTAGACGAATTAGAAAGAGAACAGCAAGAAAATCCCAGAGTAAGTAGAAGAAAGGAAATAATAAAGATCAGAGTGGAAATAAATGACATAGAGAAAAAAAAAATACAGGACAAAAGATCAATAAATCCAAGAGCTGGTCCTTTGAAAGCATAAACAATTCTGATGAATCCCTGGCCAGACTCATCAAGAAATAGAGAGGACACAAATAAATAAAATCAGAAATGAAAGAGGCAGTATAACAATGGACACCACAGAAATACAAAGAATTGTAAGCAAATACTGTGAACAACAAACTGGACAGCCTGGGTGAAATGGACAAATTCCTAGAAACATATAATCTTCCAAAATGCAATGATACATCTGATAAGGGGTTAATATCCAAAATATATAAAGTACTCATACAACTCAACAAAAGGATGACAAACAATCCAATTAAAAAGTGGCAGAGTACCTGAATATACATTTCTCCAAAGAGGACATACAATAGGCAAAGAGACATATGGAAAAATGTTCAAAGTCACTAATCATCTGAGAAATGCATATTAAAATGACAATGAGATATCACCTCACACCTATCAGAATGGCTATTATTAAAAAATCAACAAACAATTGCTAGTGAGGATGTGGAAAAAAGGGAACACTAGTACACTGCTGGTGGGAGCACAGATTGGTGCAGCCACTATAGAAAACAGTGTGGAGTTTCCTCAAAAATTAAAAATGGAACTTCTGTTTGACCCAGCGATCCCAATTATGGGAATATATCCTAAAACCCCCCAAACACCAAACAGAAAGAATATATGCACCCTTATATATTAATAGCAGCATTATTTACAATAGGTAAGATTTGGATACAGCCCAAGTGTCCATCAGTAGATGAATGGATAAAAAATTGTGAGACATTTACACAATGGAATACTATGCAGCTGTAAACAAAGAGGGATCTCTTAGCCTTTGGGACAGCATGGGTAGACCTGGGGAATATTATGCTATGTGAAATAAGCCAATCTGAGAAAGACAAATGTCACATCATCTCACTTATTTTTGGAAGCTAATGAACAAAATAAATTGACTAACATAATAAGACTCAAAGCATGGAGGTATAGAACAAACTGACATATTTCGATGTGGGATTGGGGGGATGAGAAGAGATAAAGCAAAGAACTTATATACTTATATGCATAGCCCATGTACATGAGCAATAGGTTGGTGATGATCTGGGTGGTGGTGGTGGTAGGGGCTGGGTGGTGCTAGAGGGGAAAGGGGGGAAAAATGGGAACATCTGTAATACTATCAACAATAAATATATTTTAAAAAAGTATTGCTATTCTAAAAGACCTCAGGTTAACAGTCCTATTTGACAAAGGCTGTTTTCATAAAGTCTTAAAGATATTAATTTTCCAAAATAGTCAACATCTAGTCAAAATTAAGTATTTACTGAAACTGACTTCTCAACTGTGATTAAAAATATTATTTGCTTTTCCTGCAACTTGAAGAGATCTTTTGAACAGACCATTCCATATTCCAAATGAAGTCAGGTCCCCAAAATGTCATACAAGATGGGCTTTAGTGCTTAGCAAGCAGGAAAATTAAGTGCACATGACAGACAGGAAAATAGTGATAGTGGTAGAGGAATATATAAAGAGATTCTGTCATTAGGATGGAATACTCAATTCACATGTTAATTGTTTTCTATATTTTTATTCTGTAGAGGGGTAAAATTTGATCTGTAAGGTACATTACCAATAATTGTAAATTACTAGTGTTTTTCAAAAATGAAACCTAATAGAGAAAATTAATATACTAGACTATAACTAAAGTATTTGTGTTAGGGGAAAATATTCATGCTGATTCCAATGCACATTGGGGAATTAGAAAAAAATACTGCCATGATGAACATTTAAAGCCTTTGGTAATATATACATGCCCATGCACACACATGCAAACGTAAATGGTTATCTTTGACATTAATATAATTTATTTAATGAAATTAAATTACTTATGGGAATTCTCCTCTTTCTACTGTTTGTAAGTTAAATAATAATGTGCAAATTATTTCCATATAAAAACATTTCAGTTCCTAAAAAAATTTAAAAAAATAGCAATTCCACTTCTGGGTATATATCTGAAGGAAACAAGATCATTATCTCAAAAAGACATCTGCACTCATGTTAATTATAGCATCTATACTAATAAAAGGGTAATATGCTACTTAGGGTAGACGTCTTCCAGACGTTCATCTGGACGTCCATCTGGACAAAGTCACAGCAGCTGTGAGGCCCGGGGCTCATGGCAACCATGGGCTCAGGCAGCCATGGGCCTCAGCAGCTGCGAGGCCTGGGGTTCATGGCAACTGTGGGCTCAGGTAGCCATGAACCCCGGTGGCTATGAGGCCTGGGGCTCATGGCAGTTGTGGGCTCATGGCAGCCATGGGCTCAGGCAGCCATGAGCCCCAGTGGCTGTGAGACCTCAGACTCAGGCCTTGCAGCCGCTGCGACCACGGCTGGCAGTGGCAGCAGCAGCGGGGTGATGGGGGTGGTGCCTTCTCTTGATCAGCTCAGTCGTCTTCCGCAGAGGGAGGCCAGACTGCTGTGGGGAGTGGGCCTAAGCTGTCAGTAGGACATCCCCTGAGGGTTCCCGGACTGTGAGAGGGGGCAGGCCGGGCTGAGCCCCCTCCTCCCCAGTGCATGAATTTTCGTGCATCAGGCCTCTAGTTATTTATAATAACCAAGACATAAAAACAACTTAAGTGTCCACTGATGGGTAAATGGGTAAAGAAGTTGCACCACGCACACACATGCACACACATTGGAGTATTAGTCAATCATAAAAAAGAAGGAAAAACAGTCTGTCCAGTGTGGTTCAGTGGTTGAGCATCAACCTATGAACCAGGAAATCACAGTTTGATTCCAGGATAGGGAACATGCCTGGGTTGTGGGCTCAATCCCCAGTGGGGGGTGTGCAGGAGGCAGCTGGTTGATGATTCTCTCTCATCATTGATGTTTCTATCTTCCTCTCCCTTCCTTTCTGAAACCAATAAAAATATTTTTAAAATTTTTTTTTTAAAAGAAGGAAATACTGCCATTTGTGACAACATAGATGAGCCTTGAGGGTGTTGTTGAGTGAAGTAAGTCAGACAAAGGCAAATACTGTATGCTTTCTCATTTATATGTGGAAGCTAAAAAATGTGAACTCACGAAAACACAGTACAGATTGATGGTTGTCCAAGTTGAGCAAGTTTCCAGCTGCAGCTTTCTCCGTCTATCCAGTCCTGTCTCTTTTCCATCTTTCAAATTTCCTGATTTACTTATGGGAATTTCTCACTTTCCCTCACTAATCATGAATTTTTCTTTTAAAAAGTACATGTATTCTTTTATTAAATCTAGAATGAGAAGGAAAATAAGCTGTCAGTAGGACATCCCCATGCACTCAGCTGACCACCTCCATCCAATTTCTAGAAACATTGCATGTGATTAAAATAGTGAATAAAGGTCAGCACCGATGGGTACCACCACTGAAAAGAACCAGGACCTGGTACATCTGTCCTCTGAAATGTGCTATAGGCACAGCATGCTGGCTTGCATTAGTAGAATTCTATCTGTTTTTATAAGCAGAGTCTGTCTTGACTGGATAGCATCTATAACATGCCAACTGTTACATATTTGGAATACCATCCCTGAGGTATACTAAATGTAAATCACAAATCATTACTAAAATGTCTCCTCAATAAACTTCATGGATAGGAGGAATTTACTCTAGGTATTAAGTGCTACTAAGAAAAGAGGGAGAACCCAACTTCCTTATTTTCTAAGAGCATCTCCCAGTAATTGTAACATCTTACTCATCACCACATCCTCAATGCTTGTAATAGTTCCTAGCCTATAGTAGAAACTTGAAAAACACAATTGAATAAATATATATTGAGCCCTGGCCAGGTAGCTCAGTTGGTTAGAGCATCATTCCTATATGCCAAGGTTGTTGGTTTGATCTCCAGTCAGGGCACATACAAGAGGCAATCAATGAATGTATACATGAGTGGAACAACAAATCAATGTTTCTCTGTCTCTCTTTTTTTCTCCCCCTTTCTCTCTATCTAAAATCAATAAAATAAAAAAATAGAGAAAAATGAATAATATATATCTCTATTTCCTCACTTGTAAAATAAGTTAGATCAAACCCCTAGTCATTTTGAGATTGAAGATATTAATTCCACTTGAAAGCAAATAGAGTTTTCATTAAGTTATGATACCAGTAAATGTACCAAGCAAAATGAAAAGTCATAGTCTATTATCTCCAGATATTCTTTTAGGCTCCTCAATTATAATTATCTTCTTAAGCTACATCACCAATAATAAAGAAAACAACAGAAACTTATTTTAAATTATTTTATTTTTCAGAATTTTCTAACACATGGTGTTAGAAAAATGAATTTTGGTACCATGACTTAAAACTTCTTCTCAAGTTTAGCCTTTAAATTAAACACAGTAGCTACAATAAGGATATTTAAACCTCACTCAGAGAAATGGTGAAAATCAAGGCACAAATTCTTTTGTGGAGGGAAATTATTTCAAAGTGTGATTTTAAAAAGCTAATAAGAAGAGTAAGAAGGATAAAATAGAGACCATGCTGGGAAGACAAAAAAGTGAATAATTCTCCCTAAAAAGAGAATAAAGAGGGGGGCAAAAAGCAAAAGAAAGGCTCACTAACTTATTTTCCTGATATAAAATTCAAGTACTTAAAACTTTTTTAAAAATCATAAAATGCTGCTACTCATCTCAAAGAAAAAGTAATCTTCATTATTTTCTAGAATTAAAAAACAACAACCTTTTTTACTTAAGGATAGTCAGTGATCTTAAGTCAATACTTAGAAATGGAAAGGTTTGCTTTTCTAAATCTAATATCTACATACTATAATCTACCTTGAAAAAAATCATCTGAAGGAACACAGGACTTTATTTCTAATACAAATGTAAAAAAAAAATTTAACAATCTAAACAAAAGGGCTTTCAACTGGATATGGAACTTACTGTATTTTGCACTAAATTTCTTAAGGACAAACATTGTGCAATACTGTTCTTTATATTCCATCAGGAAGTACTGTAAAACATACCTACACAGGTGATCAAAAAAGTACTTACACAATTGCACAAAAATTCAGTTAGAATTCCAGTTTTCCAACATTTAAAAAATTGCCAATTTTCACTTATATCCATCTTATCTACATGTTGATAAATAAAATTCTTCCCAGGTGTTGTTAAATAAGAAAATACTAGTCTCATTTGTCACTTGTGCATTTGTACCTGAATATTTTACCAACTGAAACACATATTCAGAAAAACTGTCATTGTTCTCAGAGACAATAAGGCAAAGAAATAAATATTTGCTTTTAATTTTTTCCCTTTCTTTTCTTCTTCAATCTGTGTTTTAAGGCTCAGAGCAGATATTATGATATATCAATTTTTTTATAAGGTTTTCAAATGTTTGGCCCAAAGTGAAGTTGTTCTGTTGAAGTTACTTAAATACTCCTCTCATCTTCTCAAGTAACTTCAAACATGTTCATGCCAGTCATCCATTCCAAAAGGAGCAGTGATTCAAAGGAAAGTTAATAACTTAGGGATCTATAAAAGACACTGCAATGTATCTTGTTCCATTTTTAACAGGAAGCCCTTCATGCAGATGCGTGAGTCTCCCTGGGTGCATAAAACTCCAGCCTTTTCTCGGTGACTCAATAGAGCAATTGTATCGAAGAAATTTGCATCCACCTCCCTAAAAGAGATGAAACAAATAAATGTATCATCCTATTATGTTTAATATTTTATCACTAGAGGCCTGGTGCACAAAATTCATGTGGGGGGGTGGTGTCCCTCAGCCTGGCCTATGCCCTCTCGCAATCCAGGATGCCTCATGCACCAGTGACCATACTTTTCATACAGGTGAAAGGCATCTTGCTGTTGTATAAGCTACATTTTTTTTGCCCTGAGTATAAAAAGTAGTACATAACATGATCCTTCTGAGGCAGTAGTGCCATTTTCCCCACTTGCAATCCGGGACCCCTTGGGGAATGTCCGACTGACGGTTTAGAGGTTAGAAAAAAACCTTGTGAGAGAAAAAAACAAAACAAAACAGAGGCCACTCCAGTGAGGTTGGGTTCTAAGGAGCTAGGGCTAACTTTCTTCGTGGAGATAGACCAGGTCAGGGAAGAGGGGAGGAAGGAGTGAGTGTGTGTGTGAGAGAGAGAGAGAGAGAGAGAGAGAGAGAGAGAGAGAGAGAGAAGATTTTTTTGAAGAAGAAGAAGAAGAAGAAGAAGAAGAAGAAGAAGAAGAGAGAGAGAGAGAGAGAGAGAGAGAGAGAGAGAGAGACTCCTCCCCAAAGACTCCAGACTCTTATTTTAAAGCACAAAACCTTGCTTCCCCACGTTTATCGCACATCTAAACACAAACCATCGTGTACTTCAAGCAACATGTATTAGGGAAAGCGAATATAGCTTTAAAGCAAAGGTTAGGGGTTTCAGAAGTAACTCCTCTATTCTCTTGGGCGGAAGCTCCTGGGGAGGCCTGCCTCTTTGCGAATCCACATTTATCTCTTGGCGCATGGGAGGTTAGGGAACACAGCATTATCCTGGGAAGGGAAGGTCAGAGGGACTGCACACTTGATACTCACCCCATTTTATTTCCTCACCCTCCCAGGTAGCTCAATTCGACTGGGTGTGGGGAGAGATTGGGCGGCTCTCCGGGGGCGATTCTGCGGCTGCTGGGGGGCAAAGAAAAGCCTCCCCCAAAAAAGGTTTTTCAAAAGCCTTCAGGAAGCCACGACGGTTAAATAGCGCAACTGGGCTCAGTGAGAGCCAAACTGTCTTCCCACTTGCACCTGCATGTCTGTGCCTCCACGGGCAGTCCAGGGCCCTCCCAGACCCTCGCTCCACCCTCCCACCTCCCTCACACACACTTTGGACTGGGTGCTGCTGCACTGGGGGCTGCTTATATGTACTCCTTTGACCTCTGCACTATCCCAAACTCCCGAACCCCAGGGCTCACTTCTGGGCTTCCGAAGCCCTCAAAAGTCTCTCCCTCAATTCCAAGGCACTGCTCCCAGCCACCTCCCAGCTGCAGCCAACACTCAGACCTAGAGGCGAGCGGCCCTGCGGGCCCACCCTCCTTTCCCTCCTCCACTCACTACGCCCGGGTTGTGGCACAGATCTGTGGGCCACGCAGTTTAGTGAACACATGCCCAATGTCAAGAATGGTGCCTTTGCTCGAAGGTAACCGGGGCAGTCTCCCTCTGGGAACTCAGTCCTGGGGTGCTGCCTTCCACCTCTAAATTCAGATCTCATGCAATTCGCACCAAAAAAACCCTGCTCCCCCGAGGAAGAGACCCACTGAAGAGACTCCTGAGGCAGTGTGGGGCATGCCTCCTCTGCACTTGTGCACAGAGTGAGTGTCATGTTTGCAAACAGTGAGCAAGCCTGCTGCGCTGCTCAAGGGGGACACATGTGTAGCCACCAAAACAGTGGTTCCTATCTTTTCTCTTTTGTTTACAGAGAAAGAGATTCCAATACTATCCCTAACCCCCATGTAGCCATGCGCCCAAAACTCCTTCTTATGCCCCTTCTCCAGACACCGGCCCTCCAATGTCCTGGCTGCTTCTGCCCGCTCTGAGAGGGGCTGCACTATAAGTTCATATGTTTGACTAGTTAAGAAAAAAAAAGGCTGAAATTGGACTTACATGGAACCTGTCCATGGTAACCACTTGCTCTACAGGAGTGCCCATAGCACCCAAGTACTTGAGACCCTTGCAATCTGGGACTCCTCCGGGGATGTCTGACTGCAGGTTTAGGAGGAGCCTGAACCAGGCCGGGTGCCGTGCAGCTCACGCTCATCCCAGCCGCTGTGCCTGCTGCCGCCACTTGGTAGTACTGCTTGAGTCAGGAGAGGCTCCCGCTGCTGCAGCTGTGCTCATCAGCCATGAGCCCAGCTTCTGGCTGAGCAGCACTCCCCCTGTGGGAGCACACTGACTACCAGGGGGCAGCTCCTGAGTTAAGCGTCTGTCCCCTGGTGGTCAGTGTGCATCATAGGGACTAGTCAACTGGTCATGCTGGTCGTTTCACTGTAACGGTCACTGGGCTTTTATATATATAGATTGGCAAAATTCAAATTATGCCATATAAGAAGAAAAGTAAAAAAAAGGGGGAGGGGTTTAAGGCCTTTTTGTAATGACTGAGGAATGTAAAAAATAAAACCCATAATTACCTGAAAATCTTCTCCCACATTATTGAGTGCAATGTTGATGGTAAATGTAGAAGCATCGTGATGAGGGCGAAGAGAACGCTGTCTGTCAGGGGAGTATTTTACCACAAAATTCAATAATGCAAATCCCTAAAAAGGCAAAGTAAATGAATGGATTTGCTTAGCAATAAAAACATAAAATAGCATATGTGTGTAAAAACTGGTAAGAGGTAGGCAGGAGGAATGGGAGAATAACTACCTTTGTATAATAGCCTGCAAAGACCTTCAGTGTAACTGGTGCAATAAACTCCCGGATAAAATGAAGCCAAACATTCTCCAGATCAATTTGCTTCATGTGGATATCATCAGTTGGGACATTTTCATAACCACCAGATATACGGCTATCCTAAAAACAAATTAATGACATCATAAAGTGTGGTCCACAGCAATCCACATTTATACTATCTTGGAATTTTTTCAATCCCAAGATCATTATAAATAAAGAAATTAACAGTTTAATTATGTCACAGCATCTGCTTTAACTGCAAGACTACCAAAAAAACTTAGGTAAAATGGCTTTGCAAATATATCCATGAAGCAAAACATTACAGAGTTTAGTAGACTCCTTTCCTACTTATTTAATGTGTTAACCCAAAAATAAAAAGACCAAAGTAAGAGGTAACAAGTGTTTATTTGAGATTCAAAAGAATAGTTATTTAGAAAGCACCTATTCAGACAGAAAAAAAAGCAGTGGGTATTTATGAGAAAGGGAAGGAGAACAATTACATCAATAGAAGGAAGCATTTCTATATGTGCAAATAAGCTAGCACAGTGATGCTAACACTAAACAATGTTTTTAATTTCGGTCCAGGTAGTCATGGCATCTTCTTTCTTGTAATCTTTGCACACAGTGGTTTGGGATACAATGCTGCTCTTGGGTCTAGGTTATTTTGCCCTTTTAACATTCCAAAGATTTGAGGAATAAGATATGCAGGATTCTGGGATGGCAGCTTCAACTCCATTTTAAAGTGGCTCCATTTAGATTATTTTTACAAATGTGTATTTAAGAGCTGACTATAAAGTAAATAAAATTAATTTCCAAAGCCCTTCCAAGCCTCCTAAAGAATGAGTTTTATACAGTGACCCTTCAGGCAGTCTTAGCTGCTTGATGGACATAAATTTGTTGGATTACCTACCATAGAAACAAGCTTTCCCTGCTTCGTTTCTTACTTCTACTTTGTGGCAATCAGTCTTTCTATGACAGGTTTTCATTATCCTGCCTGCAACTTGCTGACATCAAGTTCTTCATCATTCTTTGAACTTCTGTATCACTGATCAGCTAACTGATGTAATTTAACAGAGGTGGTAATATTCAAGAGTATTCCACTTAAATTTCTTGGTATTGGGAATGAGCTGGCATGCGAGGACTCTCAGAGGAAAAGAAATACATTGAACCACTGAGAGTGAGACTTCCTGCCAAGTCCTTGACACTGAATGTAAATAAAAAACTGACTTACACTGAAGGCATTTAGATTCCTTCTTAAATTTTATACAAAAAAAGCTTTAATAATCAACCAGATAAACTTAGTATTAGTATTTTTCACTATAGCTCACTGTAAAAATGCAGAGAATAAAAAGTGGCCTCAAGAGCAACATCACACAGTAAAGATATACATTACCTCACCATCTCCAGCCTGGGACATGATCCTTAGGGACTAGCCAGTGTAATTACATGCATAAATGAGAAACTGAGGCCCAGAGAGATCAAATGTTAAACACTCATTAGGTAATGGCAGAATTAGACTTAAACACAGCTCTCCTGATAGCCTTGGCTAACCTACTATTCAGGTCTATTCAGAGATGTACAACAAAAAGGACAAATCCACCCTAAATTCTCTAAATATCTACCCTTCCCCCAACCCCACATACACAATTCAGTTTTCTGTGCGAAATTACAACTTACGTGATGTTTCCCTCCAGACCACTGGCCATAATGCTCCATTTCTTCCACCAACTCATCACAGGCTTTTTCAGAAAATATGGGAAACCAAAAGACATCTGGACAAGGCTATGACATTGAGAGCACGCTTTATTTTTCTTTCTCATAAAGCATGGCATCACCATTAAGAGAATAACATTCTGTGTCTTTTTAAAAATATATTTTATTGATTTTTTACAGAGAGGAAGGGAGAGGGATAGAGAGTTGGAAACATCGATCAGCTGCCTCCTGCACACTCCCTACTGGGGATGTGCCCCGCAACCAAGGTACATGCCCTTAACGGGAATCAAACCTGGGACCCTTGAGTCCGCAGGCTGATGCTCTATCCACTGAGCCAAACTGGTTAGGGTACATTCTGTGTCTTTTAACTAATAACTAGCATTTTAAAACTAATAGGGCAGAATATTCAATATTTATCTCACTTAGATGTCCTTTTTAGGAGGTCTGTCCCACATTATTGACATTACTATTATAAACAATACTAGTTTTGGGGATTTTTAACACTTAGGAGACTTTTTTTTTTTTTTTACATTTTAACATCAGTAAAATAAAATGTGTCTTAAAGTCAAAGCCAAGCAGCCACTGTGATGTAGTTTTAATGCCCCGGCGCTTGGTAAAACATTCATCCTGCCGTCACCTGTGTGAGTACATATGCACGTCTGTGTGTCCTTTGTATACATGTATTTAGTTGGTGTTGCATTTGCTGAACTGAGTTGCCCTTTAAAATGTCTTTTAAAATGATTTATGCTATAATTTGTGACAGAAATGAAAAGTTACTGTGTATACAGTGCACTAGAACATATAACATATATTCCTTAATAATTAATTGTAAAATAACTCTTTCAATATGTATAAAATAAAAACATTCTAAATGACCAGAAAACATTGTGTCATAGTTTAATTGGCAGTATTTTATTTTTCTTTCTCATAGTATACAAAATAAAGAGATAACTCAGAATCAAAGATTTCTTATATTCTCTAAAATAAGGTATTAGCAATAGTTTGGAATACTACTAATCTAAAACAGAGTTCATTTTGTAAAAGACATCTCTAAGAGATTCTTGGAGCCTAATTTCTTTCAAAGGTAAACTTTCATGAAAGATATGTCAATGGCTCCTTATTTTTTGTGGTTTGGGAAAGCTACAACATTAACTTACGGACACACACAACAGTGTGGTGATCCCGGAGGGCGGGGTGTGAGGTGGGGTGGGTGGAGGTGGAAGAGGGTATAGGGGGGATAAGTGGTGATAGGGAAAAAATGAAATAAAGAAAAAAATGAAACAAAAAGAAAGCTATGACATTGAGAGCACGCTTCACAAAAATGCCTGATCTTAAAATTTTTGTTCATCTACACATTCTACAGTTTTATAACTATATGATCCTTAAGGCTATAAAATTGGGAATTAAGCCATATGAATTTTACCTAAAGAGTAATTACTGCACTTTCAAAACATCCCCCACTAAAGCAGTATTGTAGTAATAATATGCCCTTCTGGAAAATATAGCAAAAAGTTCTACATATCATAATAATTATTAATACAAACCTGTTCAACTATATTTTCAGTGAAAATCTTTGAATAATCATGGTTTATATACTTTTCCTTCCAGTCCTACAAAAAAAATCAATTGCACAGATTAAAGCAAATACCTTTACAAATACTTGAATAAACAATATAAAGTATATCCATTTTAGAAATTACTCAACTTATAAATGACTGTGTTTTAGACCACCGAAACCACAGTATATGTTTTTCAATATTTGCCTGATTCTATGTATGATCATATATATTTCTATGAAATGAAAAATTTTGGTTTATGAAGCTTTATATCTCAGAATTTAAAAATGTGAAAAATATTACAGTGATTAGATTTGTATACTACATCCTATGCATCTACACAGGGTAGATAAATATGTGTTTAAAAGTGAACAATAGAAAATCCTATCAACAAATATTAGTAAATATTAACACATTAGTCAATTTGAGTATTACTTACATAGTGAATTACTTTAAAATAATTTCAATTTTAAAAATGTATTCAAAATTTCTTCCTTCACTGCAGTTTTTAATATCTGTCAAAGAATGATCATAGGGTTCATAACACATTCACTTCCTTAAGTTACTAAATTTAAGATATAGTAAAAATAGATTTTCTTGATGTTAATTCATGAACCAATTCTCCTCTTTGACCAATCTCTGACACATAAAGCACACACTGAAATACCTCAATTTTTGTCAATATCAGCTAGGAAATCCTTTCCCTGGGTCAAGTGTTTCATTTAAAACCCCAATTATTTAGAGAGTATATATTAAAATATGGAGTGAGTTATTATTTAAAAAGATCTCTTCTTAAATGTATTTAGGCAGTCTAACAAAATTCTTAAGTTTCTCTTTATAAAGTACAAATATAGGAAAGTGACAGGAAAGAACTGAGGTACAGACATAAAATAATTCAAATCAAAACATGTTCCAAAAATATTTGTCTGAAATATACTTTTTGAGACCAGATTTCAAAGGATTCAGATAATTTATGTACATTCTTAGTTTAACATATCTCTGCTTATATGTAGCTAAGATATTTCTGATATAGAGAACCAAAACTATCTTTAAATTCTTTAATAAATTTCATTTACAGTATATAAGGATCAAATTACTATATTATCTCATTACTCCCTCTAACACTTATTAGTTTTTGGATTTCAAAATATGGGGAAAAATTAGAAGTAAATAATCATTCATAACATTTCAGAATCCTTCTGTATTCTTTCCTATGTATCATTACTGAAATTAAAGAAAAAAGCCCCTAAAACTTTACATTAATTTTTTATTTAGACCACCTTTCAAATATCATTGAACAAACTGTGAACTTACTAATTTCTTATAAGTTCTGATAATGGGAAAATCATTAAATATGTTGCTATGCATATCCCCTACAAGGTATATCTATATGGTGAATTTCCAAAGAAAACAACAAAGTAAAGCCATAGAAAGAAAAGCTATTCCAACTCACTGGTGATATCATTGCATAGTCTCCAAAGATTTGAATTTTTACACAAACATCTACATTTCAGTACATAATTTGGAATATTTTTTCAGGAAGCTAACATTACCTAAGAAATCAAATAATACTCTTTTTCAAAATAACAAGAAATTTAGCACTAAAGTAAAATATGTAATTCCACCCTCACCATTAAAAAAGCTTCTTCTTAAGTCCATGAAAATGTGCAGCTAAATGGACTGGAGGTGCTTTCCTTTATTTATCTACTAGAGGCCCGGTGCATGGATTCGTGCACCAGTGGGGTTCCTCTGCCTGGCCTGCACCCTCTCGCAATCTGGGACCCCTCGGGGGATGTCGGACTTCCGGTTTAGGCCTGATCCCCATAGGCAGGTGGCCTGCAGGTATCAGGCTGAAATTGGCAGTCCAACGCTGCCTGCTGCTCCTGCTCATCCTGACCCTGCTGTGCCTGCTGCAGGCTCATGCCCAGTCAATCCCGATCAGGAGAGGCTCGCACTGCTGCCAAAGCGGCGCTCGCCAGCCGTGAGCCCTGCGTTTGGTGCCAGTTGGTCAGCTGAGCGGCGCTCCCACTGTGGGAGCACACTAACCACCAGGGGGGAACCTCCTGCATTGAGCGTCGGCCCTCTGGTGGTCAGTGCATGTCATAGTGACCGGTTGACTGGTCATTTGGTCACTTAGGCTTTTATATATATAGATTTATGTTTTATTCCTTACCTGATGAAGATATTTTTTCCATTGATTTTTAGAGAAAGTGGAAGGGAAGGAGGAGGGAAGGAGAGAGAGAGAGAGAGAGAGAGAGAGAGAGAGAGAGAGAAGAGATAGATAGAGAAACATAGATGTGAGAGAGACATCAATTGGTGAAAATACTTTTAAAGATATTTATTTTTTATTCAACAGAGTATTCAGAGACCATTAAATTTCCTATTCCTGGTTGTCAATTACTCCTACAAAATAAAACAGAATTCTGATCAGGTGGATTAAGAGTTTGTAATTTAAGACTTTTACTATTGGCAAGGGAAAACCCTAAATAGTAGTATTACAAAGATGATCCTTTAAGAGAGTATTTTCCCTTGAATAAATGTGCTGACTTCACTACAGAGAACAGACCAAAAAAAAAAAAAAAAAAAAAAAAAAAAGGTTAATTCCTGTAGATTCAAATCTTTCAGGAAAGAAATAATTTTAGAATTTAAAAGGAAATTGTTTCCCAACTTAAGACTTTTGATATATGTTAAATCCAGTTACTCTGCAATTTTCTCTGGCTATCTTTGGTATATATTCACAAATTGTTTTAAAAAATAAACAAGGAGAGATAGAAAATGGTGGCCCAATAGGCAGATGTGCCATGCACCTCATCCTGGGGCCAGACTGGAAAAGCAACTAAGTCAGAGAACATCAACCTAGAATTCACAAGTTAGACACAGCTGAGGAGACAATTTACAACAAGAAAGGGCAGAGAACACCTGGAGAACAGTAGGAACTGGGATCTGGACTGAAGAGGGCCAGCTGGCCAGTGGGACAACAATGTGAGGAGGAAGCTGAGGTGCATCAAAGCCACTTGGCAACAGGCATAACATCCAACTGTGAAAAAGAAAAGCCACAGATTTGCTGCTGGCATGCAAATCTGGACATAAGACCACAGCCTCAAAAGGCTGAGGCAGCCTGAGCAGCTCAGTGCTGGGGGAAGAGAAACATGCAGTTTAGTGGTTGTTTTGGTTTGGTTTTGTCTTTGCTATTATGCACTAAACCCAGAACATAGGACTTTTCAATTGCAAACACTCACCTGAGGCTTCTGCGCAGAGAGAGAGGCACAGACTTGAGGAGTCTGAGGAGAGGCTGAGGAGGGAAGTAGGGCAGAGAGACATGGCCAGGACTCCTGCATTGGGACATTCTTAAAGCTTCCAAACCAAAGTGGCCATTTCTTCTCTGAAGAGCTAGCCCCTCCCAGTAGCCACAAGACAGGTAATATAGCCTGCCACACCCTGCCTGCATTTTGAGTTATACGAAGGAAAGAAGGCAGAGGCCAAATTTACACGTTTTAATAGGCCCAAAGAACCCTCAGTGACTGGATAGGAAGATGTGCCGGTCCACCCCGCTATTCTGGGAACCAGACTGATAAAAACTCCAGATTGCTAGCCAACCCCACTGGCCTCCATACAAGGATCTCTGAATAACCAAGGCCAGAGTAATATTTTGGGCCACTCATGGAGGAGTACATCTGGGTCAGGGAAAAAACATCCATCTGATTCCCAGAAAGCCAAACAGCACCACTCACTCCTAAAGCCCTATCAGTGATTAAGATTGACAGTTGGCAGACAGGCAAAACAGACAGATTGGTCCCACCTGCTTGTAGCCAAGGCCTGTGGAGACAGACACAAGCAGAGTAGTGGTGGATTGCTTGGAGCTTCAACAGGGTGCAAAAAGCCAAAAGAGCCCTAACTGGTTTGGCTCAGTGGATAGAGTGTCGGCCTGTGGACTGAAGGGTCCCAGGTTTGATTCTGGTCAAGGATATGTACCTTGGTTGCAGGCACATCCCCAGTAGACGGTGTGTGGGAGGCAGCTGATCAATGTTTCTCTCTCATCGAAGTTTCTAACTCTCTATCCCTCTCCCTTCCTGTAAAGAATCAATAATAATAATTTTAAAAAGCCAAAAGTTAGTGTCTGACAGTGGTCAGCACCTAACTACTTAAAAGGAAGCCCAGAATTGGCACACAGAAGAGTGGGATTCTAAACAAGCTGCCACACAGGGCATTAAAATTCGGCTGAAGTGAATGACACTTCACTTTTTAATTAATTAATTTTATTATTATTATTTTTTCACCTTTTTCTTCCTTGCTTCTCCTTTTTCATCCTGTTTTTCTTCTACTTTCCCCATTTTAGTTTTTCTCTTTCCTTTCTTTTTACCCCCTTTTAAAAATTGATCTTCTTTATCTGTTTTATTGATGTGTTATCATTACAGTTGTCTCTGTTGGCTTAGTCATATAGCTAACTTCATCTTCCCTGCTGTCCTACTTCATTTCCCCTTCTTTTTTATTTCTCTGAACTACTCAATTCTTTTTTCTTCTTCTCTCTGGCTCTTTTCTTCTCCTAATTTTTAATTGGTTTCAATTCAGGCCATATGCGCTCTCCTCTATTCTCCTTTTCAAATAAATAAATAAAAATTTAAAAACTTTTTTTTCTTCTTGTCCATTCATTCTCTTTCTCCCTCCTCTATAATAAACCATGGTCCTTCCCCTATTCATCCAATTCCTTAACCTTTTTGTACTTAAGCTGTGCCTCTACAGATTCTGTCCCTACCCAACTTTCCGGATTTTCTGTTTGAGCTTTTGGGTTTATTTTTATTTATTTTTTCTTTTCTCGATATCCTTTTTGTTCTCTTTTCTCTTTCCTAATTCTCTTTTTTCTGGTGGTCACTTTTTTGGGGGTTATAATTGCCTTGTGTACCTTCGTGTTCTGTTCCTTTTGTGTCGTGTCGTATTGTATTTTGTGCTGTTCGGTCAGCACTTTCACAATGGCTGACATGATGTGGTAGAGAGTGAACAGCATAATCAGACACCCTGAAAGGAGACTCCACCCAAAAAATGGGACAATAACATTC